GGGCTGCCCAGGTTGCCGCCTCTTCACCTCAGGCAAACACCAAAGACCGGGCAGACTGCGCCAACGCCAGCACCAGCACTAGGTAGAACCACTGAACCAGCGCGACCTTGCACCCACCTTCGTCGGCGATATCGACTCTACGTGATTTTATGCCGTTCATCTTCATAGACTCCAAGACACGGACTCGACTCAAAATTAAACGAGTACTTTCCTTGATTCGTGACCATCCATTGCCTTCCAGCTTCGGACCTCGAGTGGGCTTTACTGGACCCGTGAAATAACGAAATTTGTCTCCCTCGGACCTTTTGGTCTGCTTTGGATCTTCGTCCACCCTCGACATCCCCCAAAGAAGACGCCGGCTCGCACATCCACCAACACCAAGACCGGTACCTCGCGGTGACACCAAAAACCTCATCACCGCAAAGTACCTTTTGCTCGCGCTCACCTCATCCTCCCTCCCCTCGTCCACTTCCACTTCCAATCCCGCTTCCATACGCACACACACACACGGCGGTACACCTCCTTCGCGTCCGCAGGTCCACGCCAACGCCAGCGCCGACTCCCACGCCCTCGTCTTTTGGTCCTCCAGTCGTCGCCCATACTCGTGGGCGCAGACAACCAATCCAATCGTACCCACATTTGGTCGCCTCCTCCCGTCAGGGCCCTCCGCCAACCTACACCCACGGTCCACGGACAAGCCAGCTACCGGCCGCCATCCCTCGGAACCTCGTCACTTTTGACCACAACGACCGCAGACTGCTTGTTTTTCTCTCAGCTCTTGCCTCCTTCCTCTCCATTCTTCCTTCATCCACCTTTGTCTCTCTCACCATCCTCGACGATACCATCGTTTGCTTCGATGTAGCACGTCACTTTCCCCCGAACCGAATACCATCGATACCACCAAAACTCAACGTTACCTTTCGACCTGCACCCTACTAGCCACAGGTCGTGCACCACTCGGGAAACATAGGCCGAAGACCCTTGGAGCCCTTTCCTGGCTTAGCGGTACCGCAGCAGACGCAGACGCAGACGCCGACCCCCCAGCAGAGACGCACGCTGCTCTTTGCCCAGCACCCGGTAGTGTCCTCTCAGCCAGTCTCCGCAGGCTCAGTACTCTACCCCCAAGAAACCCCAATAACCAGGGCACTGTGATGAGCACTGCTCACTGAGTCCCTCCATCGTCCGCTTTCTTTCATCCCCCAAAAATTGCCTTGGGTGACCAGAACAGCCTCCACTGTTTGGATTTGAGAGAGTCCCCCCAGCCCGGGCACGTACCAAGCACCCAGCGCCCAGCACCAACACCCACCCACACACACACACCCGCCGGCAACAGAGAAGGCACTGCTTGCGAAACACCACCCTCTCTCTCTCTTGCCTTTCCCTCGACCGTCAACCTTCTTTCCTCGCCCATCGCTCCTTCCCCTAGGTCAATCTCACGACACCGGGACCACCAAAGGAGAAACATGTCGACTCCGACTACGGCTACAGCGACATTACCTCCTCACTCGCACTACCACCATCCTCATTATCCGTATTCTCACCAGCCGTACCAGGCGTCAACCGCTACGGGCTCTTCGTACCGTCAGCCGGCGAACCCAATCCTCCCCACTTCCTCCTCGACGGCGACGACGAGGTTGCCTCCTGCCTACACCAGCCATTCCGGCGTCTCCTACACGACCTCCTCGTCTTCGAGTCACGCCGGCTCAAATGGCCTAGGTCTGTCAGCCTCGTCTGCTACTTCGAGGATCAACTACGACGCTTCGAGTCCCGACGCGAACTACTCGGTCACAGCAATGCCTACCACACACGCCCAATCCTCCCAGTCCTCCTCCGGTCGCAAACGAAGACGATCCCAGGGGCCCGACTGGAACAAGTTCTATCAAAATGGTCTGCCCAAAGAGGTGATCGTCATTGACGATACCCCCGAACCGGAGCAGGGCAAGGCGACCGGCAACGGTGTAAGGGTCGTCTCTAACGGCAGCGTCAATGGCATGACCACCAACGGTGCATCCAGCACACGTCCTGTTCCTAAGAAGCGAAAGCGAGACGACGAGCCTCAGCCGTACGATCCTGTTTACCACAATAAATACGCTGGGTCTCACACAACCACTCCCCATCACAACGGAACCCCGAGTGGCTCTACCATTTCCACCGACCGGACGACGACCTCCGCCATTCACACAACCGCTGCCACCTCCTTGTCCTCAAACGGCCAGGAGTATTACGACGCTCAACCAGGACAGAAGAGAAAGCGAACTCGACAGCAGATTGCTCAAGAGGCAAAGAAGCGCGAGGTTGAGCTCTCGGACCCATTTTCCAGTTACAAGCCTCCTCCCTACCCTCCCAAGAAGGCCCAGGAAGTGCACGTTAAGGTCGTGCATGACGTGAGTGACTGCTGCCCCCAACCATGACCACACACGGTGCTAACCTGAACACAGCATGCCTACAACAAAAATGCAAAGGTCGACGACGACGATGGTCACTACATCGTGGTTCCCGATGCAGACCTGACCGACAGATGTAAGACTTTTTCTGGCCACTTTATTGAATCTGCCACTAACATCGTGTGTAGACCAGATGGTGAAACTGCTCGGCCAGGGCACCTTCGGCAAGGTCGTGCAAGCCCGAGACAGAAAGAGGAACAAGGCTGTCGCCATCAAGATCATTCGCTCAGTGCAAAAGTACCGAGATGCTTCGCGCATAGAACTCCGAGTCTTGGAAACACTGCGGCAAAATGATGGCGACAACCGCAATCGTTGCATCCACCTGAAGGATTGCTTCGACTACCGCGGCCACATCTGCATCGTCATGGATCTGCTGGGACAGAGCGTCTTTGACTTCCTCAAGAGCAACAGCTTTGTGCCCTTCCCTAACAGTCAGATCCAAAGCTTCGCTCGGCAGCTCTTTACCAGCGTTGCATGTGAGTATATTCCTACCGTTCAACAGCCGCGGAGCCAGTTGCTGATCTGCTTCCAGTCCTTCATGATCTCAACCTTATTCACACCGACCTGAAGCCTGAGAACATCCTTCTGTGTGACAGCGCTTATCAGACATTCACGTACAACCGAAAGATACCATCGTCATCCCAGACTGTCAACCGCCAGGCCAACCAGCGAAGGGTGTTGCTCGACACTGAGATTAGATTGATCGACTTCGGCTCAGCCACCTTCCAGGACGAATACCACAGCTCGGTGGTCTCGACACGACACTATCGGGCGCCCGAGATCATCCTAGGCCTTGGGTGGTCGTTCCCCTGCGACATCTGGAGCATTGGCTGCATCCTCGTGGAATTCTTCACCGGCGACGCTCTCTTCCAGACGCACGATAATCTCGAGCATCTGGCAATGATGGAGATGGTTGTCGGCCACAGAATCGACAGCAGCCTCGTCCAGGCGGTCAACAAGATGGCTACCAGGAGTGGTGGAAATCCTGCTTCCAAGTAGGTCTGCAACATCGTCGACGTCGAACGCTCGCTAACCTCCCCGTCTTTAGGTACTTCAAGAGACTCAAGCTCGACTACCCCACAGCAGAGACAACACGTGCATCCAAGAGATTTGTAAAGGCGATGAAGCGTCTCGAGGTCGGACAACCCCTCTTACACCAGATTCGACAACGGCAGACTAACACGAACCAGGACATCATCCCATCGAACACCACTTACTTTAAGAACTTCTTGGATCTTCTGCGGAAGATCTTCGTCTACGATCCCCAGCACCGCATTACCGCGAAACAGGCGCTGCAGCATCCCTGGTTCAAGGAGCCAGCAACGCCGGACGATGGCACCGAGGCTGCCAAGATCCGACTGGAGCGGATGAGATCGGACGATTCTCACAGGATACACGCATGATTTTCCTTGGGTATACACAGCTTCTTTCAAACCCTTACGTCTATAACGAACAAAGTCGAGCATGATATGGGAGTTGGCCGGTTTGATATCAGGTCTGTACGATGTGGGATGGACCAGGGATTCGGCGCTCGTGCAACTTGATTTATCGGCATCGGTCTCGATCGGAAGAGGCCGGCCTCGTCCTGCCTCTAGTGGCAGGCTTGATGGAACATGGGGCATGGGGGAGACTTTTATTATTTTTGGGTTGGATAGGGGGTCCACGCTCGAAACAACACGATTAAGTGAATCAGGAGCGGCCGACCCGTGCGCGGATTAAGCGTTGCTTAGTAGAGACGTCTCATGAGTGAGCGTGCCTTATCGCCAGGCCCAATAGAGCGATTCTCCTCACCACGGCAGTCTTGCACGGCTCGCCACTTTGCTGGTTCTATCTCGGTTTGACACTAGGAATTGCTTGACGGCAGATAGCATTTCGGTGCCGATATTGTGTGGTCTTCATTTCGTAAGTTGCGCATTTGGGATTCCGTCTCCATTTTAGGTTTGTTGCTTACGTCTTTCAAGATCCACCTTGGTTGTTGCATGATTCGTTTCTCTTTTGATATACGCTGCTGCATGCAGACCGCCAACCCGGGCACACGTGACCATTTGCAGACGTCGCAGAGGCGACCAACTCTCGGCCCAAGGCAGTCCAAAAGATGAAGTTCATGTGTGCGACGCGGCCTGAATCCCGGCCACGGCCGATCTTTGGGCCCAGAGTCTTTCCCGGTCATCTCCTCGGCTGTGTTTGAATAATGATCTTAACCAACAAAGATTATTGGCAAAGATGTTTCGTTCTTACTTCAGTCAACAGGGTCGTTCTTTCTTCCGAAGCTCGTGGCTCTTTTTCAACGACACAACTTACCAGATTGTTCTCATTGTCGACGACCAAGGAAGCGTTCGGGGGCTTCTAAGTACCAAGTGTTTCCACCGAGGACGAATGTTGGCACTGCGGTCGTTATAGAAAGGGTCCATCCCCGGCATGAAGACACTTCAATTCAGTCTGGTATAAACACAGAATTACCGACGAGACCACCTCCTATATCGCCATTTCTTGAACGAGTCGATTTTCGAGAACACAGCAGAGATCTTGCCATCTAAACAACAGACTTCCACCAACATGTCAATCACTCTCATTGATGAGCTGACAGACAGCAGCACCAAAAAGCTTGCGCGTTATCTCTACTTGCCGCCAAATTACAGCATCGCCAATCCACCGGATGAATGGTTCAGAGAGCAAGAGGCAAAGCTCAGTCAGCTTCCAAAGGTGATGCTACGTCCCAAGACGAACTCACTGAATGTGATAGATATGATGAAGCGCGGACTCATGAACGTTACCGCTAGGCAGTCGCTTCCCTTCGTCCCAGACGCAGCGATGCTCTGCCACACACACAAGGCCCTGAACCCTTGGCGTATGCGCTGCCTCTTCGCTCTGCTTGCTTCCGAAGTTACAGACAAATTTGAGCGGATGCGCCGGTTGGTCCGAAACAAGTCTGATCTCGCCCAAGAACCTGACTACCAGGAGTATGTCCGTCGCGTCACCAGCATCCAGGGTCTGTGGATGGACCGCGCCACGTTCGAGCAGTTGTACGGTTACCCGCCTGTCAAGACGGAAAGGGTGCGATCGCAGTGCGAGGCGTGCATGTGTGCCGTCGTCGGCGGCGATACGCGTCTGCTGGTTGACCTCCGCGCGCATCTGCTCTCTCGTGCTGGTTCATACCAGCCGGTCTTCCTTCGTGTGGTCAACGCCTGGATTGATGCCTTTGAGCAGGGTGCCGGTGGCCTTCATGCTGAGAGCGCGGTGCTCGGAGAGAAGCTGCGCGCAATCCGTCGTGAGATTGGTGTCCGGCGATATGAACGTCGAGAGCGTGCCCGACGAGCTGGGAAGAGTATTCCATACTCCAAGGCAAAGCGCGATGATAACTCGATTGCGAGTCTTCCGCCGAAGCCCGAATGGGGCTCATCTGGACGGCCCTCGACGGCGTCAGGACCGGCCAGGGGCTATGATAGCCGACACGGACAGCATACTCCGGAGACGTCACACCCGCGGTCCAACCACTCCTCGCGCGTGTCCGGCAACACTCAGAGTCCCCGCCAGAACCCATTCGAAGACGATTTTGAAGATGAGGAAGTGAACGAGGGCGACGAGACTAACGCAGGAAACGCGTTTTGGCAAGACGAGATGAATAACTACTATGAGCGTCAGGCTGCGCAAAACGGTGGACGATCTTTCGATAGAGCATCAATACACCCCGGACTCTTCGGACGCGAGTCTCGCGAGGTTCTCCAGCACGCTCCTGAGCCGTCGCAGTCGAGAAAAGAGACAACTCTTCCTCAGCAGACCTCTGCCTCAGCCACGCCAAGAGACAGTGCACGCAACTCTAGGCATTCAGCCCACGCACCACCCCCGACGTCCAACTCGAGACACCAATCCGATGCCGCTCGACACTCTTACCCCAGAGATGCTTCAGAGAGAACGTCTGTACGCAACCCCGATCAGTCTGCTCGTCCGCCACCTACATCATCCCAAGATACACGCGTGCCGAGAATCCCCACCACCTACCATTCCGCCGACTACCGACCAGGCGATATCCGTAGACAAACCACCCCATCTGTCGGCACCTCCGAGCATCAGAAGCATACCAGACTGAGCGCCACTCGCATAGAGACCCTAGGGCAGAATGCCGTTCCCCAGTCGGCGCCGTCCCTCCGTCATCGACCTTCGACGACGTCAACATCCTCGGTCCCGGCCTCGATGGTCCAGCGAGAATCCCGGGCTCGTGCGGAGCTTCAGGAGATTGCGAATACCCTCGGAAGAGAGAATAATCGGGCTCATGGCAGTAGCAGCTCGGCAAGTCCAGCAAACCAAAAATCCGCCCGCAGTACTAACCATTCCAGCACCCGCGCAAGCGAAGCAGTGAGTCCCCCTTCTTCCCGTCGCGTGAATAACCCCGTGACACAGGACGTAACAGCGGCAGGAGTCCACCGGCCTCCGGCGCCCGTTCCGACTGTTCGCAGGCCTCAGGAAGCGGTGAGCGGCGCGGCCAGCACGGCGCGTAAAGCATGGGAGGCTAGGTTTGAAGCGGAGGGTTTGAACGGTTCCAGCGGAGGTTCCAGCGGCGGTCGCGGGCCAGGAAGTAGAAGCAGCTGGTCGTCCACGGTAGAGTCCCGCCGCACTTCTGTTTCTCATCCGCCAACAGTGTCTTCTGGACAGTCTAGACGTGAAGATGCGGTGTCTTCCTCGTCGACGCCCCCCTCGGAACATGCCCGTCCGCCCCCGGCGAATCAAGATCATATCTGGAGCCAGATCATGGGCGGCTTCCGGAACGGGCATGATAGGTATGCCGATGATGCCCAGACTGTGATATATGGGGATTCGCAGCGATAGGTTATTTCATTAATCGTGTAGGATTTGCGCATTTTGTTTGATAGGATTAGCGTAGCGGCGAGCACTATGGTAGGTCTACGAGAGTGCACGTCTTCTGTTTCCCATTTTTAGACATCTCTGCTCTCCGTTTTGTCACTGGCATCGGAGACTGAAAACAAAAACTTTTGAGCTATCTACCTAGAGACCAGTGACATTCCAAGGTTTTCTAAGGTCCGGATCTGCCGGCCACCCATACTGGCATTGAGGAGTCCCAACCTTTGCACGAAGGAGCAAAACCAAGCTTCCCATGACCAGCAAACCCTTCCCTTCTCCCCAGACGGTCATTGATCCGGTCCAATTCCACAACTCTGGCAACGTTACGTCTTCCCTCGGGTACTCTGACACATATTATGAGGCTCAAGACACGGACTGAAAAACCTGGAAAGGAAAAGACAGAGGAGAAAGATTCGGAGGCGGCTCTCTCGAACAGTTGCGTGGGTCTGATGATTAAAATCTTCAGACAATACACTTCGCGGTACTCCGGGGCCTCTCGATTGCTTGCGGTAGAGGGTTTGCCCCCGCAACCCGTGCCATTCTCATGATTCTCGAGAGATTCGTTGACTCGGCGTCAGCAAACTCATTCGTTATTGCACATTCTTGTTGTCATTCTTGTGGCCACCGTTCACGGGTGACGCTGCGACAAAGTCAGTAAGTTGCAACCACAATAAGCGAAGAAAATCTTACATCTGTGACATTTCTAACTCTCAGCGTGAGCTGGGTCGTAGACCTCTCATAGCCTCAAGTAGACGCATTCTAGACGTTCTAGTATGTATCATCACTCTCGTAGTCGGGGCCGTTGGGGAACTCGACTCGCGGGCAGGAGTCCGCAACCTTGACGGGCGAGTGAGGCTTGCCAGGGTAGTCATAAGAGCACTCAGATTCGGCGTAGAATGTGCGTCCGTTGCCGGCGTTCTTAGCCCAGTGTACCCAGACAGCTTGATCGTACCAGTCGATACCATTCGGCTTCTCGACCTTGTAGACCTGGTTGAGTATTCCAGAGGGTTCAAACTGGAACGACTTCATGAATTTGCTCATCCACTGATGCTTGTCGTCCTTGCCTTGGACCATAGCATGCATGACAATGCCTGCCGTTTGTTAGTTGGGTGATATCCAGCAGAAATATGAGAAACTCACGGTGAATAGGCTTGAAGTCGGGCCGATGGAATCCATCATCGACAGCGTCGGGGTCACGCCACTCGTACTGAGCATGACCGTGAAACATCAAAGATGTCTGAGAAAGCAGTCGGTGGAGCAAGGCGCTGCCAACACCGTTGCGGCGATGATCAGGGTGAACGAAAACAACCACCTTCGCGGTGTCTGCAGCGGCGCCCGTGGTCAAGCTAATACCCTTCTCATACGGAGCAAGGAACCCAAATCCGCAGATGGTCGCATTATCATTCTTGGGCTGGCTTTCCAGCAGATGTTGGAACTGCTGCATATACTGGCGATGGGCAGCACGGGAGGGCCAGTTCTTGGGATCGCGGAGGTCGACGCTCGTCTGAGTTGCGACGACGAAGGGCAGCTTCTCCTGAAAGCACTCTCTCAGAATGGACTCGAAATGCTGCGTCGAGACGTTGGTCGAGTCGGCAAGAGGCTCCTGGGCCGTGACGGAGAGGTTGTAGGTCTTGGCGCAGCCATTGGCGTCACTCGGTGAGGCGGGACGGAGAGTGTAGTCGGTAAGAGGCTGCACCTTGTGCTTCTCTGCCTCCTTGGGCTGGGGCAATCGGCCAACGGCTTGGTCTTGAATCTGCTTGACCGTCTTTCTGGCTCGGTTCTTGATGCGCTCCTGTTCCTGTCGCTTCATGATCTTGGCACGAACGTCAATCTCTTTGTATACCAGTACATTGCTGGTCATTCCTCGACGGCGATGGATCCAGTTCTGAGACATCTTGCCCTCCTCGTCGCAGTCGATCATTGTGTTGGGCTGCTTGACTTCTTCCATCACATCTCCGGTCTCGGGATCGATACCAAACTCGTACTCCCAGTCGTCGCGAGCGCAGTCTGACAGTGAAAATATGATACCTGTAGGGAGATCTTGGATCCATTGCTCGACGATGGGACTGGGTGTGAACGGCGCAACGCGTGAACAAACACTTCCATCGTTCGAAGACTCGTCGTCAGCGCTAACATCCCAGGAAGACCGGCTGTTGCTGGACTCCCGTCCGGTGTGATGTTCTCCATTGGGGATTGACTGCAAGGCATTCTGGGTGAGCTGAGCACGATCGACTTCCTCGTTGAACACGCGCGTGATAGGCGCGGTGGGACGACCGAAAGCCGAAGGGCCACGGGAGTAGTCAGAGTAAGCCATTTCGGAGTCGGTGTGCAGCGAGCTGCCTCTCTGTTGCGTGTTGCTTGTAGTGGAATTCGCCTCCTCCTGAAAATTTTGCTTCTCAGTCTGTCCTGCCAGGAAGTAGCGATCGTGATCTCGAGTAAGCACGAAGTCGCTGCCGTAGCTGAAATCGCGGTTCTTTTGCGGAATAGGCTCCGGTGATTCAGGGCTTGACGGGATGTTGCTGGCAGGTGAGGTAGGGCTTTTCCTGTCGGGAAGAGGAAGATTCTTGTCCCAGCGGATGGAGGTTCGCTGAGTAGGTTCGTTTACCTTAGGGCCAGGGCTTCTCGGGATGGGAAAATAGAGGGAAGGAATGCCAGGGACTCGAGGTTTCTCGTTGGGACTGTCTTCAATCGGCAGCTGCATTGGGGAGGAAGCCGCAGTGGGGCAGGGCATGCTGCTCGGGGAAGGTATACTGCCTGCAGAGAAGGAGCTGATGATGGCTCGGGGGTAAGGGCTGCCCTGGCGTCGACGACGAGTGTTCTCATCTGGGGCTCTGCCTCGGCCACCCCGCTCTTGATCTGCCTCAGTCATTGTAGTGACTTCTTCGTTCTATCTCAAACGAGTAGACAGTGTGGTTGAGACAGAGAAATCAAGCACCTTCGGGGCTGGTAGTTGTCTGTTGTGAGATCAGTATAAAGGATCCAACAAAAGATTTTCAGGCTGAGCAATTGTTGCTGCTCACACTTACAGGCTGGCTTGAATGAAAGGGGTGTTAAGGAAGGAAGACCAGGATCTCACTGCTTTGCCTGTCGGCTGTGAAGTTCTTGAGAGGGAAAGAGGAGGATGGGTCGCGCGTTTGGGTGTTTTTGGCCGAAAAAGGAAGAAACGCGGCAACCTGTAGCGAAGGAGATCAGTTGCCTCTGGCGCCGACTGTGAACTTGGGTAGGAAAAGTCAGGGCAGTGCCTTGACTTGTCTCACTGCTCCTGGTGTTGTAGCCAAGTTTCACAAAATCTGTTGTGGTGTGGGAGAAGGAGGAGAGGCAGGTGGGTGGGGATGGGGAGGGTAAGAAGGAGAGGAAAAGGAAACGAACGGGTGGTCTGGCGCAAAGTGTGGGAGAGTTCTCTGATATCAAAGGCAGGAGCAGCTGCTTTTTTAGGGAAGGTGCCTTCCCATCAGATAGGGTTAGTCTTCTCGACTCTGGAAGAAAGATATGATCCAGGCTTCAGAACGCAAAGACGCTAAAAATATTCTAGGTGACTTTGAAGGAGTTGAGTTTGAGCATCTTCATCGATTTATGTGTATTTCACTTATCTCTGACTTAACATTTAGGTAATAAATTCCAGAACTTAACAGGTCAACTTGCTAGAAGTACTTTCGGTATTATCCGATTCGAAAAGATATTTCTATCATAGACGAGGACGAAAACCAGCTTCAAGTGTAGTTGTTGAAGTGGTCGGTGTACTCGGTGAGACGCCAATGAGCTGCCACTCACCGAAGCCAGACCGAGACCGCATGCCCGATGGTGTCACGTGCCCAGCTTGGTCCAGTCAGGCGCCCGAATTAGAGCAGTCTGCATCGGTCAACGTGAATAATGCAAGGAGCAGCATTACGATAGACAAATCAAGAATCTTGCAGACGCCCATTTCAGATACCTTATACCACAGACCATCACGCCTATCTTAAAATGCTGTCCATCTTGCGAAAAGCCCGGGTAAAGGACAAGGAAATGCGAATCCTGATGCTGTCAGTCTGCGAGTGCGCAACACTTGGCCGACCCCGCTGACAGACTCACCAGAGGTCTTGACAATGCGGGCAAAACAACGATTGTCAAGAAGATCATGGGAGAGGATGTCAACACGGTGAGCCCAACATTGGGTTTCATCATCAAGACTATCGACTACGATGGGTGCGTTGAGCGTCCTCCACTTCCCAGTGCTGCTGATTGACACCGCTCAGATACAAACTGAACATCTGTGGGTGATTCTCTCATACGGGTGACCAGCCCTCTGACCGTAGCAGGGGACGTGGGCGGCCAAAAGACGCTGCGATCATACTGGCGGAACTATTTTGAGAAGACAGACGCCCTGATCTGGGTCGTCGACGCCACAGACCGGCTGAGAATCCAGGATTGCATGGAGGAACTGCATGGGCTTTTGCAAGAAGAGGTCTGTTGGATGCAGACCCCTTCTCTCGATAGGGCTGACATGGATAACAGCGGCTCTCGGGAGCCAGTCTCCTGGTTTTTGCGAACAAAACGGATGTGAACGGATGCATGGATGAGCAGGAAATACTCGATGTACGTCCCGGTCACCCCTGGCGACCCGAGGCTGACACGCTGACCTTTTCTCAGGGGTTACGACTAGAAGCCATCAGAACGCATCGCTGGCACATCCTGCGATGTAGCGCCATGACAGGCACCAACCTCAAGGAGGGCCTGGCATGGGTTGTGGAAGACGCAAAAAAGAGGCTATTTCTGTACTAAGGGGCTTGCTTCCCGCTGTTATCGACAAGCGAACATCATGGACATGGAGCAGAAAGGGAGGCTCCGCGGTTAACGACACTCGAGGATGTCCCGGCAGTCAGCACAGCTGGCTGCCGAGTGCGCCGTTGGAGGCTGGGATGAGCTGGCAGAAACCAGCATGAAGTCCCTTAGGTCAAAAGGGGGACGGCAGGGCATGACAATGTGTTCTGGAAGCCTGGTCCCACGACATACCGGATCCGATGGGGTGTTACGGCTCGGAAGTCAGGATCGAGGTTGTGTAATGGGTCGCAGATAGATGGATGACCCGGAGGTTGAAATGCAGCGCATCCACGCGGTGAAAAGGTGAAAAGGGGACTGCTATTATCATTGGAAGCCAACGTAAGCTGAGGCTGAAAGCTAAGACCGGAAGCTTGTCGGATTTCTTTGCGTCTTACGACCTGGTGGTTATTGCTTAAAATTGGGCCTCCGCTGGCCCGATAATGCCCGAAAGATTGCTGCTTGGTGCTTCAGCAGTGCCGAAGAACTTGCCAGCTGTTGGGCACGCGACAAACAACGCTGTTCGTGCCTTGAGCACCGTTGGACGGCTGGAATAGCAGAGGAATTGTGTTGAATGCCAGGACATCCCTCCATGAAATCATGGTTTGAAACGACGTGATTGAAACGCTCCCGCTGGCCAGTGAGGTGCTTGAACGGCGAAATTGGTGCGGCCCCAAGTCAAGGGATCTCAGGTACGAGCGATATCCCAATGTGAGACAGGGGTTGCAAGTGTGGAGAAGCCAGTGGTCCGAGCGCCCAGTCTTTGCCTGAGGTAAAGAAAGACGGGTACGTACCTCTTTTACGAGCTTCCTTTGTGTGTTTTGTTGTTTTTCATCGAGTTCCGTGGCTGCGCTGAGCCGACTTGGGCTGGCTGAGCCGAGCTGAGCTGAATCTTCGTGCAGCTGGATGAGCCGTTACTGAGAGGATTGTACTTCTTTCTACCTGTGGTTATTCAGAACGTTGGATGAGATGGACGAGAAGCAGCTCTGAGAGATCGGTCTTTTAGCGCTGAGACTTGGGGAAATCAACACGGACGACGGGCCCAACGTCTGTTCCCAACTCTGTGAAATTGTTTGGGGTGCTGGGCTATCATCTGTGACCAGTGCCTGACGGTGCAGTCTTCGCAGCCAAGGCTAGACCAAGGACAGGGCAAAGGTATTCGGCGGACGTAGCATTCGTTCTCATATGTGTGTCCCTGGTAAGGTAAGGTAGGTAGCTAGGGCCCAAAGGCAGAAAGGTCGGGTCGCCAACGCGGGATGCAACAGTCGTTCGCATCGGCCATTGACGAGTCCAAAAACCTGCTTCCTTCATCTCTGCCGTCAGCTTCGCATTTGCTGCTCTTAGCTTTGAGCCTCAAGCCTCTCATCAACAAACGCAGATCCCGTCCTGTCGCCGTTCACCCACACGACCTTATTTACCTCGTGCATTACCTAAGGCCTCCAGTCTCACGCGCCCCCTCACCAAACCCTCGGAACCAACCTACCGTACCTCCAGCAGCATCCTGCACCCTGCCGCGCCCAGTACCTTGCTTCTCGCACGCAAGTTCCAGCTCGTTAGCGGCGCCATCCCATCCTGTCCCATCCCAGATTCGACTGGACCTCTGAGGTGGTGGTGACGAAGTACCTCCCGCTCAGTACCGCACCCATCCTGCTACCTCCCTCTCTACCTCTGCCTCTGCCTCTGCCTCTGCCTCTGCCTCTGCCTCCGCCTCCGCCTACCTACCTCATCCCGTCCCGTCGAGGAGCACCGGCCAAGGGAAAAAAAATAGACAACATATCCTTCTCCAACCAAAGGGGCCTCACCACGCTTGCTCGCCTTGCCACGGCATACCTTCTCACCGGGGGATACCTGCGCATACAGAACCACCCGTTTCCATTCTTCCCCCACCGCAATCGTGTCATGACTCTGCCTCCCGCTTCGACATGTCGGAACAAGCCATGGACGACGTCTCCAAGTTTTTGCAGGATGTCAAGGAGATGAATGCCCGCCGCACCGAGGAGGACGACGCCCGTCAGCGCGAATTGGACGAGAAGATCCAGCAGGAGAAGAGGGAACGCCAGGCTCGTCGTGCCGGTACGTGTTGTTGTGTTTCCCTTGCTTTGCTCTGCCCAGCCCAGACACCTGTTCTGTTTGTCTCTCATTCTGTCTCCATCCCGTCTGTCCCTCACTTCCCGCGCAGTCCCTCCTCACCTGCGTTACCCTCGCTGGTGCTGCTGTTGTTCTATTCCTACCTGCGTGTCTTGCCTCTTTTTGTAAGCTTTCTTTTCCCAACTCGGCCAAGGTACGCATCCTACTTCGCGTCTTGCCCATCCTGCGCGAGTGCTCGGTGCTGTGCTATGTTCAGGTTCAGGTTGCCCTTGACCAAAAAGCTGAGCTACTGACGGGACCGCCGCCGCACTGGGCGAGACGCGGGCGACGCCTCGACGCCTTGACACCAACCCACGGCACTACAATGGGCACACGCACATTGCACTACCAAGAGCACACGGCCTTCGTCCATTGTTGCCCGTCTACTTTGCGCCCTGCAGAAAAAAAATCATCAACACGCTTTCTGTGTTTCCTCATCTGCCATTGTGTTTTTTCCTTGCTGCGCTCGCCGTGCTATTTGCCAGAATTGCATCAACCCCTCCTTCTGACAACATTTGACAGAACGCGCCCGATCCATTTCCCCTCAGAAATCATCCCCGGCCAATACCCCACCACCATCGTCTCAACGCAACACCACGCAGCTTTCCGATGATCTGAGGCTGTCTTCGCCTGGTCTCGAACACACCGGAAGCCCTCGATCTCGTGGTATCACGGCCTCTGACACCATGGAGAGCTTCTCCTCCACCTCTCCCACCAAAGAGAACGATTCACCCTTCGATGCTGATACCAAGCGAACGAGCGTCACCTCTCCTACCGGCAGCGTACAAGGAGCGCGACCGCTTTCCTGGCAGAGGCGTCCCAACTCGCAACATTCCGATCGATCCAAGAGCCGTCCTCTCTCCGTCGTCGCCGCCGAGAACGCTGCGAGGACCTCGCCAAACCCGCCTTCTGACCCCGCCTCCGCAACCGAGCAGTCCTTCTCCAAGGACCAGATCGCCCAGGCATTGGGATCCAAGGACCCCTCCTGGTTCCGCCAGACGGCCGACAGAGCTAGCGTTGCCTCCGCCGCCAGCCGCAAGAGCCAAGTGGAAGACACAGATACAACCGACATGTCGGCCATGCGCCATCAGCTCCCTGGCATGAGCCGCAGCTCATCGACCGATCTTGCTCCAGAAAGTGCGAGCCCCACGAAAGGCCTGGCATCTCCGCTGTCATTGAGCTCCGCGCAAAGACTCGACCCCCCTGCCGAGATCTCTCCCGAAAATGACAAGCGAGCGTCGGCCCTGTCGTCAGGATCAGGACGCGCATCGCCCACAAGACCTGTCTCGCCAACGAAAGGCATGGGCGGCTTTGTGCAGAGTGCCATGATGAAGAGGTCAGACAGTGTAAAGAGATGGAGTGTCACGTCTCCTACTGGGCTCGTTCGTGCCGACTCTGCCGCTTCAAGCCGGACTGGTGAGTCCCGATCACGGCCACAAAGTATGGTTATTCGCGATGGAGCGTCCACTCCTACGAGCACAAGCAGAGCTCGCTCCCGTTCCCGTCCCGCGTCCCGCCATGCCTCTCGTCCTGCTTCTCGCCATGGTCCTACAGAAGAAGAAAATGACCTGGAAACCACCCCCAAAGCACCTGTCGCCGATCCCCATCCGGATCCGAAGCCCACCGAAGACGACGAGGAGAAGGTTACACCACCGTCAAGTCCGTCCAAGACCATGGATTCTAGGAGATGGAGCCCGACCAAAGCTAGCTGGCTGGAGACAGCACTGAACAAGCCAGAGTCGCCGAAGCCGAAGCCGCCGCCCACGACGAATCAACCGGCGTGGATGGTCGAGCTGAACAAAGCCAAGGCGCAAAAGGCTGCCAGTGGGAGTGTTGATCTTGGGCGAGCCGGATCCGTCTCTTCCCAGAAGCACGAAGTCAATATTGGCGGGCTCATGCGGTCATCACCCATGGGCGGCCATACCTCCAAGCCTTCTGTCAGTGGGCTGAAGGGCATCTTTACACCACCAACTGAGACCTCACATAGATCAAGCGGCAGCATCAGTGGAAGCAGCTTCCGCAATAGTCAAATCAAGAGCCCGATCAATGACGCCAAACCTGAGGGAGAGATTGGAGATATCCCGAAACGATCGTCAGTCAGTGACGGCCCTGCCGCAGCAAAGGTCAAGCCCGAGACCCCACCAAAGAAGGATTTTCGTGCCGGCCTCAAGTCTCGGAACCCCTCTGGCGATGCAGGGTCATCCAAGGAACAGCCTAACGAACTAGCAAACGTCTTTGGTAATCTGCGTCGAACCAAGACTCAAAACTACGTTGCCCCAGATGAGCTGAAGGGTAACATCCTGCGCGGAAAAGCAGGTCTTAACATTACCGGTGGCCCCAAGCCCAGCGAGCGCAAGGACGAGTTCAAGGATGCAATCCTGAAGAAAAAGGAAGATTTCAAGGCCGCCCAAGAACAAGGCAGAGGCATCGCTCGCAGCAAATCCAACGCGGCCGACAGACCGGTGCCTGAGGCCCTGCTGAAGAAGGCTGAATTTAGCAAATCTCTTTCCTCCAGGCCAGACATGTCAGAATACACGATTGAACATCGCAAATCTGTCAGCGGGCGGCCTCAGTCCATGCCGAGAGATGAGCCAAAGGATGACTCCGCGGCGCCCTCGCCGTCATTCAAGTCTCTGGCGGAATCGATCAAGTCTCCCACCGGCTCGGTCACCTCTCCAGGTCTTCAGAAAGAGACCAGTCCCCCGGCCCGCCTGCAAGGCCGCGCTGCGGCTGGTGGGCTTGCAAACCGTTTCAACCCTGCGCTTGCTGGGCTTCTGGCTCGCGGCCCGCCACCCATGGCCGGAGGGAAAGACTCTGAAAAGTCGGAGGGTTCCGGCGCCTCAGCTTCAGAGCCAACGGCACCAGGCCCGCAGCTGACGCACATGACCAAAGGCCGTGCTCGTGGTCCGAGGAGAAAGGCTCCGACAAAGGCCGCCGCTCCTGTGGAGTCTCAGTCAAGCCCGGCGCCCGCTTCGCCGGTCAAGGATGAAGAACCGGTCATGATGGAGGAGCCTAAGACGAGCCCGGTGAAGGAAGCGCCTCCTTCGATCCATGCCCAAGTCGCTGCTCAAGCGGCTTTGAAGAGCCGGCCGGCTCCTCTCAAGTCGTTCGAGAAACCAGTCGAAGAACCTGAAAAGCCAGCCGAAAGGTCTGCAGAGAAGCCAGTCTTCAGCCCCAAAGACAGTGAACCCGTGCCGACCCGCAGGTCAAGATCCCCCACCATGAAGCTTCAGTCTTCCCCCATCAAGCTTCAGGAGGAGAAGCCGGTTGAGCCTACCGCCCAGCCCACCTCGCCTAAGAAGCTGGATATGAAGAGGATGTCGATATTCCTGGATGACACCGCCCAGGCTAGCCCCAAGCCTGAGAGCCCCAAGAGGGCCGAGAGTCCAAAGAGGGCCGAAAGTCCAAAGAGGGCCGAGAGTCCCAAGAGGGAAAGCCCGAGAAAGGACAGCCCCAAGCCTGATAGTCCTGTGAGGGACATCCCCCAACCAAGCAGCCCCAAGAAGGAGAGTCCCGTTTCTACGCCGAGGTTCGAGCCCAAGCCGGTCTTCGAGAAGCCTCTTAGCCCTACACCGCAGAAGGAGGAAGCTTCCCCTGTCAAGACTTCTGGACGGCCTCTACCAGAGCCCAGGCCCAGTTCTCCGCGCAAGTCGTTTGTGGAACCCCGCGAGGAGCCCGCGCAGCCCACTCCGATCAAGACGTTCGGGGCGCGGCCGTTGCCTGAACCCACCTCCAGGTCGCCAATTCGATCTCCCATCAGATCCCCGCCCCCGAATGACTACAGCCCGCATGTGGCGCCTCTCCGCCTGTCGCGGCCTAGCTCACCTCTGAAGATGGCATCGAACGACAAGGTCGACAGCGAGCCAGTCGTGTCTGTCAAGAATGCCACCGCCATGTTTGGAGGATCCGTGGCACAGTCACCGCCGCTCGTAAAGTCGCCTCCTCCCATGAAATCACCTGTGAGGTCGCCACTGAACTCGCCTCCTGTCGAGAACATCTCCCGCTTTGAAAACCCCGCGCCTCCTGTGGAGAGGACCAGCACCCCGAAGGCCGCTGCCAGGCCACTGCCGCTTCCTCCGAAGCCATCTTCCCCTACGCCCGTAACATCGCCGATGCGATCTCCGACCAAACAGGGACCGGATGTGTCGACCATGCTGGATGACTTTTTCGGCACACCGAGACCGCAGAGAGAGTTCCGGGTGGATACTGCGGAAATCCTGATGAATAAGCCCCAGGCTCGCAACATCCAGGGCCAGGGTGGTCGGCTATTCCAGATCACTGGCGATGGCAAGAAGATCCCCGTGCCGGCGCATAACGAGCGCATCCTGTTTGAGCGGGAAATGTACATCTGCGCGTTTACCTTTACAAACGAAACCGGCAGAAAGGCAACGGAGGTGTACTTCTGGGCCGGCGATGAGGTGCCCGACGCCACTGCCGAAGATGCCTCTCTGTTTGTGAACCGGGAAGCCAGGTCTCTCGGCGGAAAGGTTGTGAGGATGCGCCAGGGCAGAGAAACCCCTGAATTTATCCTGGCACTTGGCGGCATGATCATCATTCGCCGGGGCACCAGCACCAAGTACGACTCTCTGGCGCCTAGCATGCTCTGCGGCCGTCGTACCCTCGGACAACACACCTTTGTGTTTGACGAGGTCGATCTGTCTTCGGCGAGCCTCTGCTCAGGATTCCCCTTCCTGATCGCAACCTCAGGAAAGTGCTACCTGTGGAAGGGCAAGGGTAGTGATGTAGACGAGCAGAGTTGCGCGCGTCTCATAGGTATGGACTTGACTTTGACGGGCGAGCTCCTGGAGATCGACGACGGCAGCGAGCCGGACAGCTTCTGGGACATTTTCGACGGCGGCTCGAAGGCCACGTCCGCGGACCATTGGCGCTTGAAGCCGAGCTACGACAAGTACTGTCAGCGCCTGTTCCGGTCTAACGCGGCTTCAAAGCAGCAGGTAAGATGATACAATTCCTGAATCAGCTCTGGTACCCAATCTAACGAAATACAGGTCGTTGAAATCGCTCCGTTCACTCAAGCAGACCTGGACCCCTCAGGAATCTACGTCCTGGACGCCTTCTTTGAGATGTACATCATTGTTGGCAAGTTCGCCCAGAGTCAGTACAGCTCGTTCCGCATCGCCCTCGACTTTGCACAGGAGTATGCCATCTTGGCCAGCGGCATGGAAGACCGCCCCTTCATTCCCATCTCCACGGTCGTCCTCGAGGGTATCCCCAAGGACCTCAAGAGCGTCTTCCGCAAGTGGCGGGACGAGGCCAGCCCGACCATCATGCCCGTAAGGAGCGGAAGCTCAAGTCCCTTGAAGCGAGGAAGGAGTCTGCGCGTCGTGCCCCTGACCCAGGCACTCCAGGCGCTTAGTGAGTAAATGAAATATCTGTGTTTAGGGGCGGCGCGGCGGAATGGACGGAGTTATCAGAGCAAGGCAGGCGGCTGGCGCGCTGAATACCTGTTCAAAAATAAATACCCGGATGCTTGGAGGGGAGCAAATGTGGAGATGAAGGGGGCAACTCGTTGTAAATGATATTGTGTTTTTAATGTTGCATTTGCAAAGGTTAAGGCGGCGATGGGCGTTGTTATAAACGAGTCGGCTGCGCTGATTTGACGTTCTGTGCAATGGAGCAGTAGTAGGGCATCATCAATGCCTCTGCTGGGTATCAATCGTGGATACAGCATGACCACAGCATTGAAAGCGAATTGAACCGCCATTTGACACAGTTTACCAAAAAATTGCTTATAGATTAATCAAACCAGAAAGAGAGCCCACGACAACTACCTGAACAACGCCGGTTATATCTATGTACGCTTGATGGGTGTGTCGGCCACCCTATGCACAGGACATACGTCTGGCACCCTTCACCCCTTCGCCCCTGACCTGTCCGCCTACAAGTACGATCTCATCCGTATTCGTAGCCATCGCCGAGCGTCAAGCCCAGCCACATTTGGTGTGATGTTGGTTGTTGAAGTTGTGACTTGGGGTATATTGTTTGCGAGTCCTACCACTCCTTGATTTCTTTGCCTTTTCTTTTCTCTACTATTGCACATTCATACACGCCCGCTCACCGGGCTCGTCCTTGCACGGGGGAGAAGCCCTTATGACTCGTCCTCGGTGTCCGTGTTTGTCGCGCTCGTGTCGTCCTCAACATCGTCATCAGTACCACTCTCCTCATCCGAATCATCATCGGCGGGTTTCCTGCGGGGCTTGGTGGCACCAGGTACGCTTCCACCCTTGAGGGCTTGCATCTGGCCGGCTATCGAGTCTGCAGGTTGGTTAGCTTTGCATGTTTTGTGTGAATGTTCAATAGGAGACTTACCCTCATCAGGCTCGCTGATCTCGTCCTCGGCAGCCATTGCAGCAGCCTTGTCCGCCTCCTCAACCACCAAGGTTACCTCCATCTTGGTGTCGAAGCCGACGTAGCTATCGCACACGACGTGCATAACGAAAGTGTAGTGACCGGCTTGAGGGGGTGCCGCGAATTGGGCCTTGAGGGTCTGCATGTTGAAGGTGGGCTTGCCATCCTCGCCGAAGATGGGCTGGTCGAACTGGGTGAAGGTGAAGGGAGGAACGGCCATCTTGCCCTGCTTGGAGTCGGTCAAGAAGACGTACCACTTGGGGGCGTGGTCGCGAGCGAAGTACGGGGAGTGGGCGAGGGGAGGCAGAATCGGCTTGTCGTCAACGGGGATGGCCTTTCCGTCGGGTCCCTTGATTGTCTTCTTCTTGCGGCCCAGGAAAGCCTCGAGGTCGTCCTCCGCGGGGTCAATGTCTTCCAGATCCACCTCGTCGATCTCGGGGACGTTTTCGCTGCCAGGGGGGATGATGCGGCCCTTGACGACCAGGGTGACGAGAGACGAGGGGATGATGAAGCGCTCGCCGGTGACCTTGAAGAACGCCTTGGCGACACGGAGTTGGGGAAGCTGCCTGGAGACGTCGAGCGCGGTCTTGTACTGCTCCTCGGTGAGGAGGCCCTTCTTTACCGTCAGGTTTCTACGGAGGGTGTCGGGGAGATCCATGAACTGTTGGAGGGAGACGTGAACCTTCTCGTCGCCGCCCTCGATGGCATTGACGATCTCCTGGTTGAAGTGAGGAAGCTGGAGGAGAGGAGACGACTTGGGGGGCGTGGCCTGGATCAGGTGCTGGCTGGCGGAGTACGCGGCCAAGATGGGGCCGGTGCTACCGTAAGCCTGGGCGATGGAGGAGAAAGACCTGGTCAGGGCGTGGGCGATGGGGGCAACTTCATACTTGGCGCTGTTCAGAGCAGGGTCCTCGAGATCGATGCGACCGAGGTAGGACCAGAGAAGCGCGAGGGTCTTGCGGCGGACGCCGCTGTCGAGATCCTCCAGAGCCTGCTTGTCCTTCTGCGAAAGACCAGCCTTCTCGGCGTTGGTGAACAGCTTGGACTCGAGCTTGGAAAGGCCAGACTCAGCCTTGTCACCCTTGAGGACACTCTCAAACTCCTTTCCGTGGCTCAGGGCAGTAACGACACCACCCTCATCAACGTCCTCCTTGTATGCGCGGAACAGGTTGTTGGCGCTCTCCATGAGGACACCGTCCTTGGACATGCGCTGGGTGCCGTACCACCAGGATCCGACGAGGTAGGGCAGGAGAACGCCGAGGAGCAGGGTGTAGGCGAGAACGACGTACTTGCCGTTGCCGTCAGAGACCATGAACTTGGGGAGCGCAATGCCGATGCTGAAGCTCTGCTTTCCGTCGGGGTGGCCATATTGGATGTAGTTGTTGCGGACCTCCTCGTCGGTGAGCGCCTGGTAGGCCTTGGAGATCTCGACGTAGGCGGCGTTGAGGGATTCGATGGTCTCGTTCTTGGCCAGGTCGGGCTTGACCTTGTCGGGGTGCAGTCTTTGGGAGAGTTTCCTGTAGACCTTCTTGATTTGTCTCTCGTCGGCGGACTAGGAGCTTGTTAGTGCTGGGTGACCGTATAGCGACCGATTGTACGTACGTCTGAAATGCCGAGGATGTCATAGGGGTTCCAGATCTTGGGGGTCACGGTCTGGACGTGGAGGATGAGGTAGACCATGCCGGCCATGAGGGCCAGGCCGGCGAGGACGAAGATGACGCGCACGATGCGGCGCTGCTTCTTCTCGTGCGCCTTGCGTTGTTTCTCGATTAGGTCGGCATGTTCGGGCTTGTAGTCGCTCTGAATGCGCGGGGCTTTCGCTTCGATGTCCTTGGAGGGGAAGAGAAGGGTGTAGCCGAGGGGCAGCGTGATGATGCTGCTGAGGGCGAGGATGAAGAAGGGGTAGAATTGCGCCTCGGAGTCGTACGAGTAGTCGGAACTCATCTTGACGGCGTGGCGAGCTCGAGAGCTCTGGGACGGGTGGGCGAAGGCGGGATTGGAGCAGCGGCTGGGCGGTGGTGGTGTCGCGATGAAGATGCCACGTCAAAGAGAGTGTCGCGGGAGATGCGAGAAAAGTAAGAGGAACGAGCGGCGTAGCCGGCACGGAGAAACAGTCGTGTCGTTGCAGCAGACAGACTAGAAAAAAAGAGAAGAATACAGAAACCCGGAGGGAAAAGAACAGCAGGCGCTGTGCAGTGGGTTGGGTTGTGCCGTGTAGCGGGAGACAACTCTGGGCTGAGGAAGCAAAAGTGTCCGTTGGCCGTCTGCGCTGCTGGTCAGTCACTTTCTTTTGACAATCGTGGCCTCGAAAGACTGCGGTGGTAGATTCCGGACAGGGGGGTTACGGCTCAGTGTCCAGTCAGTGCGCCTTACGAGACCCACCCACCGCTGGCCCTTACCTTGAAGTACCACTGTGGCCTGGCTGCTTTCGCCTCCGGCCCGGCAAATGGATTATCTGTCCTTCCCCAACTTGGACCTTAATTGCACCTGGCCGTTTTGAGCTTGTTGGCTAGCTCCGGCTGGCCCACTCTTTTATTTCGTCCACGGCCTTCAGGTACCCGTCGTTTGTCGAGATGCATCTAATAGTAACACTTGCTGGTGGGTTGGCTTGAAGACTCTGGGATACAACTGGCAAAGATCAGTTGATTCCTTTATTGACTAGAAACAAACATGCACTCGATGCTTTATGTCGGTAAGCATTCTCATTTGCTATTCATCACAACTCTAACCCCTGCCATGGCATCTCAAACCCCTGCTCAACTCAACGTCGAAGCAAGCCACTTAACGGACTGGCGTGATCCGCCGTATCGCAACGATTCTAACTCCGGACTCGTTAGCGTCAAATCAATTCATACAGAAAACCATTGGCATATCAATGGCCTCAATTACCTGTTAGTGGTTGGTTGCTACCCTGGCAGCAGGCTGTGTTCCTGAGAATTATCGCCTGCGATGAGTCAAGAACGAATAGGCAAAGACTCCAGGTTGCCTGTCATGTTATATTTTCACGTTGTATTCGAACTTTCTGTGGCATATTCCCTGGAAATGGTTGCTCAGCGTCATCTTGAAGTTCTTCAAAGTGATCTAGGACCGCCGACTCTTGGAGAAAGCATATCGCTAGCCGAAAAGCCTGTATTCAGTTGTACGAGGCATTTCAATGTTGTAGTCAAGCGGCAGTCAGGCCTTTCCAGACAGGTATGTGAACGTCTTGTGATTGGCAGTGAAAATTTCTAACGCATTCGTATAGTTCTGGAAGGTGGTGTCGAGCCAAAAAGGGTGGGATAGTTCTCCTTTCTTATGGTTCAGCCGTTGAGGTTCTACCCACGCATCGCCGCGGCCGTGAGAGACAAGAACCTGGAGAGCACCGCCCGAACTCTCTCTTCCCACGCAAGTAACCTTCATGTACGGAACTGCATGGAACTTTCCCAACGATCAGTTCAGCTAGGCTAAGTGGTCTAGTTGGTAAAACCGCCGCGGGGTTAGGCAAAAGAAATATCTCGATCGGGGCCTGGCTGGTCAGCTCGCGAGACGCGCAGTTCAACTGGGCGTGTACCTTTTGTTTTTGCCAACTTTTTGTTCTGATTTTCTTCGCAAATGCTCCTACTTTTTGCATCTATATCGGTTTTAGCCGTAGATCATCTTGATCGTCTAGTCTTTGGCCGAGAAACCGCTGTTTAAAATGTGCAGGAGATGAGGTAGCAGAAAATCTCGCTTCCAAATCCACGATGACAACGTTCATTTTCGCATATATTTATTGCCGGCTATCTTATGGCCTGAATGAGGCTTCATACATAGGGACAGCAAGATACGGTTTCTCTGGTGACGACGTCCTCATATCCATGACGGTATGTATATGTGTGGGAGTTGCTACGCCTAGATCACCAGGAAGATATTCGAGATCTGGTGTAATTGGGAACTTACCACTGAAATTATTTCAAAAGACTATATAACACTGCTTGTGCCCAAGGAAAAGTCGTCTCACAGCAATGATTCTGTAGGTGTAACTTGATTTTCAGCCATGAGATGTGAAGCAAGACCAGAATTATTCACCCCGTGTGAGCCACAAGTTCTGTCCGGTACCAGCAATGCAAGCAAAACCTCCAGGTCGGCCACCATACGCCCCTTTTCTATCCCTCATCTTCGTCCTGGAGCAGGGTGTTGAGCAATTCACTACAGACGCTCCTGATCGAAAAAACCAAAGCGTGATGTACAAGTTGCCGCAAGGATCATTCCAGCGTAACGCGGAGCCTACTCACTCGGTTGAAATGCCGTTCGCGTATCTTGCCTCATGGCCGGAACAACTATAACCAACCAGCCTCCATCACTATAAATAAGTGCGCGTGATTGCCAGCTCCAGACTCTTCGAACAACGCACAATCGTTCCTGGCGTTGTGGCTTCCAGGTTAGTGATAGCACAGTTGATCAGCCATGTTGATACCTGGCCGCAATAGCCAGAAGGCACCGCTGGATCCCGGCCATGACGGCAACTGTTACCTCCTTCCCCTTGTCCACCCCTGTCTCTACCGATGTCTGCGTATTGATCTCCAGAATAAGCTGACGGTTAGTTATTCGAAAGACCCGACAAGCTTCCAATGATTGAAACTACGCGTAGCTACCTAACTGTCACAAGGGTACCTAATTATTTCACCACCTTAAAACCATAGGATGGCGCTTGCCAGATCGACAGATTTGGCAAGGAGACATGAATACATCATTTTATTGCTTATATAGCCAGCCAGAGGAGAAGCGCGAACATTATGTTCTCCCAAGAAATAAAAAGGAAGAGTAACGACTCTGAGAAGGAGTAACGGATAAGGCCAACGCACAAATTGTCATGGCTATTGACCATCCCTCAAAAGATTTGTCACCAATGAAAAGAGAGAGGCTCCTTCTGTTCCGCTAGCCAGGTGATTACGTCGGTCGACTTTCTCTAAGCCATCACCCCCCTTACGGCAGGCAGTCTCTGAAAAGCTTCCTCAACAACCGACCCTCCCTCATCATTTCCACCCTCGTAGTATTCATAAGAATACTTCCATCTGGAACACTCACCCGAACGCGGAGACGGCCGGGAGTGATGCACCAATTCTTCGCTGTGTCTCATGTCCGTCGAGTCCCTCAGACCTTGTAGATTCAGAGCGCACGAGGTAATGTTTCGTTTGTCGAGAATGCTTGGCTCAAGCCTCTGACAGAAGACACGGGAATGATTTATATCTTCAACGGACCTCAGAGACCACGCAACTTAGGGGCTGGCCTGCGATGCCAAAGATCATCCCGTCGAAGGCCTTGTCAAACGCCAGAATCATGAAACATACTGGCAGGAAAATCCAGTTGTCAGGTATTAAAGGCAACGCCAAGCTATGCTACAATCCTCCCATCCCTATTCCCAAAAACCCAAAGGGTGTCGCACCCCATCTTCTATCCTACACTTAACTCCTCTCAAACTTCTCATCCTCGTCCCCATCAACAATAGCCTCCTCCTCCAGCTCAAGCAGAGTCTCGCCCTCCGCATCCGTCGTATCCTCCTCCCCGTCCGTCGCTCCACTAATCAACAGACTCCTCAGGTCGTCCTCGCTCAGAATCGTCTCGATGCTGCCCCTGCGGATCCAAGGCCTCGTCTCTCGCCGCCCCTGCTCAATGACCTTCTCGACCTTGAGCCTGTTGCTCACAAACTTCAAGATCGGGAACCCGCGTTGCTGGCCCTCGTGGATCATGCGCGCCAGCCTCGGCGGGTCGGGGTCCGAGAGGATGTGGTAGAAGTCCGACGGCTGCGTCTTGGGCCAGATGGTGATGGTGCCGGAGAACTGCTGCAGGAACAGCTGGCTCCAGTCCTGTCCCAGCGGGCGCGGCAGTAGCTCGGCGTGCCGGATGAACTTGAGCCATTTGGTCATGTCCAGCTTGAGGTAGTGTTCGACCGCGGACATGACGTATCCGCCCCGCCAGCCCTTGCCCTTGCGGTGCGTGACGGGGTGGCCCACGCTGCCCCTGGAACTGAAGAAGAAGAGGTTGATGTGCGGGTTTACCTGGCTAACGATTGTAAAGTTGACGTTAAAGTGCAGGTTGAGCGCCTTGATGGGGATATCCGTCCGCAAGCTACCGTCTTTCCACTTGTGGCCAAAGGAGTACGGGATCAGTGTCCCGTCGCGCTGCTTCATCATCAACACCACGGGGTTCAGAATGCCGGGGACGGCGGCCGAGGCCAGCACCGCAGACCAAATAACGCAGTCGGGAGACGTGATGTAGTTGCAGAGGATCGTGGGCGAGTGCGGGTCGGCCGGGACACAGGAGACGTTCAGGATCCTCCCCGTGCGCTCGTACGCTTCGCGGAACGTCATCGAGCCGCGGGTCCACCACGAACACTGCTTGGCCCAGTCGACCGAGTCGAATCTCGCGCCCGTCTTCCACCATCGGGGGATCCAAGTCGTGAAGCTCTCACGACAGGCAGTGATTTTACCCGCAAGGGCCGGGACGAGTAATTTCTTGAGCTCGTCGTTGGTGCGAGTGGCCACCAAGGCAGCGACCAGGGCGCCGCCACTTGTCCCAGTGATGACTTCCGGGAGGAGATCCGCCTCGAGGAGAGACTTGACAACACCAAAATGGTAGTACGCGAACGATGCGCCACCGGATAGACAAAGAGCTGTCCGGCCGTAGTTGTTAAACATGCCCTTGAAAATGCTCCTCTTCTCCTCCATGGTAAGCTGCTGAGTGTTTAGAACAAACTTGATGCTCCTCTCAACTACTCCACGTTAGCTAATGACCTCCATTCCATCACTGGCGAATGCTTACCCTCGTCGACAAAGTTCTGCACCAAATTCTTCGTCCCGTAGTACGTCTGACTGTACAACCTCGGGTTCTCAACGCCCACAAAGTTGCTCTTCACGCAAGCAGACAGCAGCGCGTGGAGCTCCTCGACCGCAGGCTTGCCCCCCTTCTCCCCATCAACCTCCCCGTTCTCCTGCTCCTCGGCTCTATGCCTACACTTGCGCATCTGCTCCCACACCCTCTTCACAGTCTTGGAGTCGTAGTACGCAAAGTCGTTCTCCTCCTTCCAGCGCTGGCGGTCCAGGTAGCTATCCAGCTCCTTGGCCGCAACGACCCAGTCGCGGTAGTTGTTCGTCCGCCGCATGCTCCGCCTCAGCCTCTCCCTCGTGCCGCGCCAGGTGACGAAGTGCTCGTAGACCCAGATGTACAGCCTCGTATAAAGGTACGTCAGCGCCAGACCCGCGAGCCAGGCCCCCACGAAAAAGAGCATCGGCCACTTGAGCAGGGCGTAGAATATCCCCTCCCGCGTCTCATCCTTGGTCCTCGTTCCAAGCAACGCCTCCGCTGCGCCCTTGGCCCGGTTTCTCCGCCGCCGCGACCCTCGCTTTGCCACCCGCTGGTTGACCGGCGCCCAGTCGTTCTGCGCGGTGATGAACATGTTCGGCTGGCTCGCGTGGCCGTTGCCATTGGGCTGGGACGGCGCCGTCACGTCGCCCGCGGCAGCAGCCGCCGCCGCCGCCACGGCGGACGGGTCGTCGTTTCCATCCTCGTACGTGCTCCCTCGCTTCGTGATGTCGAGCGACGAGGTGCTCCTCAGACCCGGGGAGCGCAGGGAGGTCGTCTCGTCCGCGGGAGACTGCAGCGGGTCCGGGGCGTGCAGGGCGTTCACAAAAGCCTCGAGGTCCGCGTCGTCGAGGAAGTTGGTGTCGAAGTCGGGGAGGCCATCGCTGCCGAAGGACTCGGGCGGGAAGCCGTAGCTGTCGGTGTTGTAGTTGTTGCTGCTACTGGGAGAGATCGGGGCAAAGGTCACTCTGTGGTGTTCACGTTGTTCGCGCGTGTGCTCAGCCATGTCTGCGAGCTGTGAGGTCTATCAAGTCTAGGCGCATGATATTGCAGACGCAAAGTCTAAAAAAAGGACGAACGGCAGGAAAAAGGAAACAAGAGGGTACAGCTGATGGAGAAAGTCAATCTCCCCCTTTTTTCCCTGTCGGGTGGTGCGTATGCCAGCCAATGTGTGAGACGACGTTTCTGAGTGTAAGTGGTGATGGGAGCTGGATAACGGGTGATTTCAGGGCGTTTGTTGGGAAAGCTGACTGTTCTTGGGGGTGGTTGTTCGGACCGGAGCGTTTCCTTCGAGATGCGCGCGCCTCTCCTCCCTGGGGAATGCGCCCGTGATGCCACGGGTCGGATGACGTCGGCTGTAGCTCGAATTGGATTTCGTTGGGGGGCGGGTGGACACCTCTCAGTGAGCTGCAGTGGACGCGGATGGAGAGAGTGGAAGGGAGAGCATCCCGTATCCCGTGTTTCCCCAGTAGTTTCTTCACAGTGGATTGAATCAGGTGCACTTCATTCGTAGGGCGAGGGAGGGGCGTTCTTCAGTGGATGATGTGCCTGAGTGAAGCACCTCTAGCGGGATGCCCGTACCGACCATGTTAGCCGAGATGACCATCCATGAACCGTCTGTACTCTGCAGCAGCAGCGCTGTCTCCGTGCTCGTTTCCGAGCATGAACAGAGCGGGCAGGCAGTTATCTGCCAAGAGGGCCGTACAGGTAGGTAGATATGGCCGCGCCAATGACACGCACATGAACATTAGGTACGAGTCAAGCCTTACGTAAGGTAAGCAACGAGGAGCCCCTGGGTCGTTGCTTCAAACATGGACATCCATCTGCACTTGCGCGAATGTGGCACAGCTCCAAAGAATGGTCAAATTGTCACTGAACAACGTCCACTGGGAGAAGAGCAAACCACTTCGGGGCCGGCATTGTCAGCGGCATTGGATGGATGGCTGGCTGGCGGGACACGGGCATGGCATGGCCCCTCCTCGCCAATTTGGACCCCTAAGCTTGCCCCCCGTTCTCGTTCCCGCCTCTCCGGAATCCTCTGGAAATGTTACCTAACCACGCTCGCCACGCGCGACAATGGTTGGCCCGCCCAAAGCATGGCTTGGATGATGTGAGCTCAGGTCGACGTCCAAGGCTATCGTATCGGGGGGGGGAGGCGGGACGACGATGATCTCGGAGGGCTGAGTCGGGCAATGTCAATGCCTTGAATGCCTTGCTGTTTGTTGAACATCCATGATAACACACTTTGTCATCATCATCATCGTCATCCGCAAAATCAAGAAAATCTTGGCTGTGGCTTGTGAATCCTAAAATGCCACACTTACACGTCGCCGCTTCCCACGCCTCCCAAACTTACATCCCGCCTGCTGACACGGTGGCCTCGGTTGCATCACCTCTGGGCCGGGATCACCATGGCACAGCGGCACAGCGCCTTGCGTGGAGGTTCTGCCTACCTAGGCATTACGTCGTCTCCAGAAGCACACCGCGACATATGCACCTCTACCAGCAATACCGTTCCGAAACAATGATGTTGATGATGTTATGTTGTTGATGCAGAACTAGCATAGCAGGCTAACGATTGAAACGCACAATAACCAGATTCTCCAAGGTCCCGGGCCTGAATGAGTATTCTAGCCTAGAAACCGTACATACTGCCTCGTGTTTGACTGACTTGGCTGCGTGGCCGACCGGGCAGCGAGCTCTGCGCCATGCCGCGTACTCATATTCCCAGTGACCAACACGCAGAGCTCTTCCAAAGCAGCAAACCTGCCCCATTACGCACTTTCACCCCCAAGGATATCAGGTTCGAAAAGGGCCAGGACATGGACTCGGCCCCTTCGAGCAATTTGAACCGGAGCATCGTAGACGTGGCACCATGATTTCGTTCCCGTACGGACGTTTACTCTTTTGTTTTGCCAATTCTTGCCAATCGCCCGTGTACTCCATTCCGCCGTAAACACCGCCTGACCAGCTCTTCCCAGAGCAGTCGGTCCCATGCTTAGACGTACTGAGACAGCCACCGGATACCGTCGCCGTAACCTGCTCCTGTTAGCCTTGCATGATCCTCGCGCGTATTGGTAGCACCGCGGAAACCCACCTTGTCTGAGGACAACGGAGCACATGAAAACCTCAATGGGCCTGATACCCTCCAGAGGCACCTTGCCCTTGCCAGTCGTCTGGTACATGCCGAGCTGGTGACGGAGCTCCTCCTCGGAAATGGCGTCGGGGTGGTCAATCTTGTTGCCGAGGATCACAAAGGGAACCTTGGCGAGCTCCTCCATGGAGAGAAGAGCGTCAAGCTCGGCCTTGGCCTCGGGGAATCGCTCGTGGTCCTTGGCGTCGACGAGGAAGACGATGCCGTTGACTTCGGGGAAGTAGTCCTTCCAGAGGCGGCGGGCCTGCTGGTGACCACCGAGATCGAAGGTTGTGAAGCGCACGTTGCCGATGGCGAGCTCCTCGGAAGCTGCAGACGCAAGGTGGTCAGTTTTGCTCCAGATGGACTCGAGGACACGTGCGCACGGCTTCCCGCGGCATCGTCAACGTTGTTGGGACAGGGAGGTACTCACTGGGGTGGAGAGTGGGCTGAAGAATGGCAACTCGGTCGTTCTGGTGAATGTGTTAGCTACAGTCCCTCCGTATTGGCACCAGAAGCTCCTGATATCCCATATCGGCGCATCCGGACCATGGCGGACGGGAGGTCTCTCGCAGCTTGCGGTCCAAGCTGGGCTTTCGGGTATCGTACCTTCAACATGTGCAACAGAGTCGTCTTGCCGGCATTGTCGAGACCGAGGAAAAGGAGCTTTGCGTGCTTGTTGAGCAGACCAAGGCTCGAGAGGACGTTGTAGACTGCGATGGAACACAAGTCAGTTGATTGCTCTTCGACCAGGGATGGATGCTTGGCCCAGCGGCGGCGGCGGCGAAGAAGACAGCATCGCGCGCGAGGAGAAGAAACAGCAAGCTGAGTACGTACACCAATCAATAATCCACATCTTGACGACGAAAGATCAAGTCTATTGTGCGTATGTGAGGTTGGTTCGGGGATGCGGTGGAGCAGATAGGTAGATTGAGGTCGGGATAGATTCGTTGTTCGGACTTTTGCTCCCAAGAGACAAGGCAAGGCGGCGGACGGTGCTGTGCGGGTTGCTGAGTGCTGGCTGGCTGGTGGGCTGGACTGGGCTATCAGCGGTTGGGGTGGAGTGCTGGCTGTGCTGTGTGCTGTCGGGTTCCAACTTGCTTGTGGTCGGTGCTGATGCTGAGGTGCTGAGGTGTGCTTATGCCTTATATTTGGGGCAAAACTTATCGGAGATGCTCCACTCTGGCAGGCAAAAGGTGTTGGTGCGTCAGAGCGAAACTCACTCTGGCCTTTTTGTGAGGATCACGGCAAGCAAAGGATGATGATGTGCAGGTAGTGAAGCTTTGAAGGTCTCAATCGTTGTCATCTCTCCATTTATGTAGAGTTTGAAGGAACACGTTGCGATTTTCCGTTACTCAACACGTTGAGGCATCCGAACTTATTGCGAACTCAATGTCACATAGATGGCAGAATCCGCCATTACGGTAGGCCATTTATATCCTGTCAAGAGCTTTGTGGTCATCATATATGGCAATGAGTCACTGTGAATGCGATGTGGACAAGTTGTTGGAGGTCTGCGATATATCGCAGGAATGCAGTTGATCAGGCTCCCTAATGCTATGTGTTCGCTCAAACAACCATACAGCCTTCAAACACGCCATTCCAGGGGTATTCGTGCTCCGTCCCAACGATAGAAGACAAGGAAAATGAAGCGAAAGAAATGTACGAGGCCCCGTGCGTCGGGTTGGCCTCTGTGTAAAAGATATGTACAGTCCATCGGACAGTAAATAGTATCATATATGTCATGAATTCCTCTCCCATGCCATGCACCATCCCATGCTAAACGCCGAGCAAGACACCCCTAGTCTCGCTGTAAATGCAAATCAACAAACCCCACCCGATGCAGAAAATTGTCTGTAGTTTAGACGGAGAGAACGTAGTTGCCCTGGTCGATCTTGCCGGCCATGAGCAGACCAAGCTCTCTCATGCGCTCACAGCCGAGACCGCGCTGTGGCTTGCGCTCAGGGATCTGACCCTTGCGAGCGCGGTTGCAGTACTTTTGGTAAAACTTCTCCTTGCGACGTTGTCGCTTTCTCTCCAGGCCCTTGACGATGTCAATGGCGCCGCGGACGTGGATGTCGTTGGCCGGAGCCTTTGTGCGGCGTCCCTTGGCCATGTGGGGAAACATGGATGGGGGACGGGGGAGAGACTTGGTAACAGTAAGGCCGGGGCGAGAGGCCAGAGTCTTGAAGGTAATAGCGCCCTGTACGTTGCGAGGGGATGCGGGAGGAGACCGCAGTGCCTGGGTAGGAGGGGGAGAGCGAAGACGGCGGGGAGAAGGGCCGTCAAAGAGGCAGCGTCCACGGGCCTTGGGAGCCGGAGAGGCGCGGCGCTTGATAGGTGCGGGAGAAGCACGGCGCTTGATGGGCGCAGGAGAGGCGCGACGCTTCATGAGGGGAGGAGAGCGGAAGCGCTTGGGAGAGGTGTGCTCCGACTTCCTGCGACCTCTTCTCCTGTCCTGTCCGTGGTGGAGGTCCTCCATCTTGCCGTGGAGGAAGTCCTCGTCGTCGCTGCTGTGGTGAACGGGGTTGTATATCTCCTCATCGCCCTCGTCTTCCGGGTCCGAAGCAGGGAAGCTGGGGTCAATGTCCTGAGGGATGAGCTGGAGCTTCTCGCGTCTGCGAGCTGCGAGGCAGGAGATGTAGGCATCCTCCATGGGGCGGTCCTCATCGAGGGTACCGCAGACAAAGTCGGTGCTGTCGGGGAGCTCAGGGGTACCGGGGCGGATCCTCATACGCTGGGTCTTGCCGCGGCGAGCACGGAGGCTGGTGCGCGAGGCGATTGAAGAATCGGAAAGCTGCTCAGGAAGGGAGGGACGGCGAGCCACAGGAGTGGTGTCGATCTTCTGAGCGGTAGAGCGGCCGGGCGTCCAGAGGCTGAGATCATCGTCTTCGTCGTCCTCCTCGTCGGAATCAGCAAATCCGGTCTCCTCGTCGGTCTTGTAGCCATCCGAGTTGTCGTCGTCCTCATCCTCATCGTCCTCGTCATCCTCGTCGTCATCGTCGTCCTGCTCCTCCTCATCGTCCTGATCATCGGCATCGTTCTCTTCATCGTCGTCGATGGCGGTCTCAAGATCATCCTCGTTCTCCTCCTCCTCAGCCTCCTCCTCGGCCTCAATCGCCAACTTGCGAATGGCGTTCTCCTTCTGCAAGGTGTCGTCTACAGTGATGCGGCGGCCCTGAGAGGTGAAGGCGTTGCGGATCCAGTCATCCTCGCGGGGAACGTCGCTCGCAAACTCGTGGAAGTGAGAAGACTCGTTTTGCAAGTCGTTGTCGTTGGCGGTAATGTACTTCTTTGTAGTAGGCGACTTGACGTCGACAGCGATGCGAGGAGGTGCGAGAGTAGGTCGCGGGGAACGCGAGCGAGACTTGCGAACAGTCGCGGGCGAGCTCTCCTTCAGGGAAGGGGGCTGGAGCATAGCAGCGGCCATCTCCAAGCGTTGAGGGGGAGTGTTCTGCGTGGAAGCAGGGCGCTGAGGAACGGGGCAGGCGAACTTGATGCAGCTTCTGCGCTGAGGCTCCTGGGCAGAAGGGGCCTTCACCATAGGCTGGGCCTGGATGGGCTCAGCAGGCTTGGGCTTTGCGCAGGCGAACTGGATGCAACGCTTCTTGGGAGCTTCCTGGGCGGGCTCCTGAGGACGAGCAGCGGGAGCTTGCATGGCCAGCTTCTGAGGCTCATCGTTGAGACGGAGGAAGCGCATCTCGGGGATGGGAGGGCTGGGAGTGTTGGCGCGAGAAGGGCTGGTAAGGCCAGTGTCGCTCGTCAAGTCGGCGGTGGAGGCCAGGCTGACGTTGCTGGCCATTGAACGGCGGCGGGCGAAGAAGGACATGCCCGGGCGGGCTTCGGGGTCCTCATCCTCGGAAGGGCTGTGGAGAGCCTTCGTCAGGAGAGAGGTGTTGTGGTCCAAGGTAGTGCGTCGGATAGGGTTCCTCTTGAACATGCTGCTCATGGGAGAGACGGGCACCTGGGTGGGATTTTCCGGAGGCTCGTCAACATCGGCGGTCTCGTCTTCTACCATGGAGGGCATGTTGGCGCAATGTGTGGACCAGGCCAGGACGTTTGACGTCGCGGCGTCGTGTGTTGTGTTGTGCGTCATTGTGGATAGGTGAGGTCGGTCAAGAGGTGATTGCAGGGTTAAATCGGGCTTTCGGCTCGAGGTGTGGCGAAGGGTGGTATTCCAGGCCAAGTCGTTCAACGATGCGTCTAGCAGGCGTAACCGGTCGAAGGTCGACTTCGTGAGAATATGGTAGTAGTAGTCGGTCGTAGTAGTAAAAGTGCTCGCACAAGCGGCTCTTGTAGTGGTTTGTATATGATGGATGTTTTGTTGTTTTGTATGTCGAAGAGCGGGTTGCCCTCAAGAGGACGTGCAGACTGGGTGATCGTCTCGGAAGACAACTGCAGCTGACCAAAAAGTGTCCCTAGGGACCGTGAGGCTATAAGGACAGAACGGACATCGTCAAAGGGATCTTGTTCTGAAGTAGTAGTGGCAGTTGAGGGAGATTATAGGACGACCGGGCGTTGCCTCAATGTGAGGCGTAGTTGGTGGGATGGGAACAGGTCGATTCAGGGTCCTGGGTGTACAAGAATAACTGAATCGGAGTGTAGATCCCAAATGAAAGGGCGGGCTTGGGCGTGGCACAAGGATGACTGTGTCGTGGGCGAGCAGATGACGTCGGGCCTAGCGTGGCGCAGGAAAGGTAGTGTAGAGTGATGTGTGTTGGTGTTGGGTTGGGCGTGTGTGAGAGGGAAATATCTGGGAAAGGATAAACGGCAACGGGCGGTAGGCAGTAGAGTGCTGTGCGCTGGGATAGATGCTCGGGCGGGTTGGAAGAAGTTTAACAGGTTCCGGGTTATTCTTGGCGTGTTCGGGGATGGACGTGGGATGAATTCAGGATGCTCGGAGGCTGAGGGCTTGGGCTCTTTTCTGGCCGAGCAGGAGTGTGGTGTCTGGGAGAGCCAGTTAAGGGTAGGGGGCAGATGGGTATGTAGAAGTATTTGCCGGGGAAACCCAACGCCAACGGGGCCAGGACCTAGGACCTAGGACCTGACAGAGAGAGGTGGGAGTGGCGACGGGTACGGATAGAGGCCGCGACTAGCGGAGGTCACTCGTCCAGCTTTTTTTTTTTTTTTTTGTAAGGGCAAGGCAAATTCTCTTTACCGCCTCGTTGGTGCTGCCCGTTGCTTCGGGAAGTGTGGTCGGGTGGTGTGGTGCGTGGTGTCTGTGTCGATTGATGGTGGGTGGGCGTATGAGAGAGAGAGTGTGTGTGTGCCAGCTGGTAGATTCCAGTCTGTTTCTCTCTTTCTCTGTTGCTCTCTATTACAATAAGAAGGGAAAAGCAGAGAGAGGCCGAAGGAGGGGAGGAAGAGTGGGCGACGGGCGAGTGATTGCAGATTGATTGAATGATGGGTGGGCGGGTATGTGGGCGTTATGCCGTAAGAGGGCGTGGGATGCGGATAAGGTCGCTGCAACAGTGCAACACGTAAGTCGTCTTTCGTTTGCTGAGGAGCTGTTCCGCGTCGTCCTCGTTGTCGTTGGTCAGGCGGGCAGACGGACTGGGGGTGTAGGGAAACACCAGCAGAATAAGGTGCGATTGGTGTGTCTGGCGTAAGGTGGTTTTTTTGGGGGTCCTCCCTTTGTGCGTGCGTCCTTGTCGCGTTTCTGCAGGAAATTTGGCAGACAGGCTGGCAGGACAAGGGAAGGGAGCCAGATGCGTGGACGCGGGTTGCCGAGGAAAAAGAAAAGGCTCAGACTTTGGATCAACCTCAGACCTTCGGAATCTGGATCTCTTGGATCTTGGACCGTAGACCGTAGACCTCAAAAGGCAAAAGGGAGAGAGAAAGTTGCTTGGCTTGGCAGTGCAAGGTAAGGTATTTGAAGATCTTGGCAAAAAGGCGCTGCAGCAGCACCTGCGGACTGCGGACTGCGAGCTTAGAGCTACAGCTTTGACAGTTGACAGCAGCAGCAACAATAGGAGAGGAGCAGCGGGCGCTGGGAGATGCGGATGCAGGCAAACCGCGTGGAGGGTTTTATTGCGATGCGGCTTTTTTCCCCCCAAGTGAGGTCTCATTCACCCTTTTTTGTTTTTCCTTGTGGCCCTTTTTTTTTTAAACCCTCACCTCGTGTTTTTTACGCTTTTCATTTTGGGGGACTGGGACCGGTGTTGGCCTGCGCGGGCTGGACCCCGTCCGTCAGTCAGTCAACAAAATGCGTTGAACTTTTTGTTCCCTGAGCTGAGCTCGGACTGGTCCCCAAATTTGTTGCGAAATTTTTCTTCGCCTGTTCTCCCCGGCGAGCGGCCGTGGGGATGCTGGCTCTGCTTCGAATTTTTCTTCTCTCGCGTCTTCTCCCGTACGTCGCCGGGGGTGGCACGTTTACTGGATTGGGGGAGAGGAAACTCAAGTGTCAGTGGGGTGAGCCCTGTCTCTCAGGGCTCGCAGGGGGCCCTCCCCAAGCAAAACTTCCCCATTGAATGATGAAAAGGCGGCTAGGCGGAAAAAGGGCAAGCACAGGAAGCAAAGAGACCAGCATCATCGACAGGCGGGCGGGAAATGGAGATGGATCGGAGTCTTGGGGAGGCTAAACCAGGCGTGCTGATCCAGACACTGGAGCTGGCTGTGCCCCACACGGTGCGCAGGCAGTCAATCTCGCTCGGAAACGCCCAGAGGCGCACGGCTGAGGGACCTCGAGACACGCATGTCGTCGGCGGGAAGCTGCGGCACTTTGTCGCCTTGCGTCGGGTACCGCGCCAAGGAACCTAAGCTTCGAGCCGAAAACGGAGCCAACGGCAGCCGTCGATTCCCACTGTGAGCGTTGGCTCGTGCTTTTTTTCTTTCCCCTTGCGGCGGCCGGGAATGGCAAGGCCGCCAAGGTCCATCACCGCCTCCCGGGCAATTGTCGGTACGTACTGCCCGAAGGCCCGTCGTCAATTCACATCCACTCACCCACTGAAGCCAAATGAATGACACGGTGGAGTGCTGGTGACCAATTCTCGCTCCTCCAGTGGTCGGTTTGCGCGACGGGGACAGTCCTGACGGCATCCACATCGCTTGCGGTGAATGGGCGATGGGAGTCTCGCAGCGACAGCTCCCAAGTCTGACGGTGAAAGGGCCGAGGGACGCGCGAGATGATGGCGCGCGGGATCCGTCCTCTCTCTTTTTTTTCCTGTCCCATTCAATTCCCTCTGCTGACTGGCAGTGGCAGTGGCACTGGCACCGGCTCACGTTAGCTCATCTCGGTCAACAAGCGAGGAGTGACATGTCTATTCCATATTACTTTCGTATGACCACAGGTCACCGCTGGTTCACCTTGGAACGATAATCTCCAGAAACCACCCCAAGAATGGACGCTACGACGCTACACCACAAACACTCTCACTCCAGTCGCGGGTTGCAATCGATGGATGGCGCCGTGTCAGCAATGGCCATGACCATGACCATACCAAGTCAACAAGCCGTCCGTTCCTCTTGGCCCATTTCCGCGCTGTCTCATCTCATCTTTCAATCTGTCCCCGATTCCATCCGCCACTATTTGCTGCAGCCTGCAGCCAATGCCAGCTAGCTTAGCTCTGACAAGGCGAGCTCTGACCTCTGGTTTCCCACTCTGTCCTGTGCCTCCGCTGGCCTGCTTCTTCCTGTCTCGCTACCAATCACCATTCCAACCACCATCCGTCTCCAATCACCCGTCACGAATACCAAGCAAAGCAGGCAATCACCCTCAGGCCCTGCATGTGTCCAGTCAAGTGACTCTGGTCTGGTCTAAAGCACCACACCCATCCGCCGCTGTCTTTGTTTCCTCCACTCTGTTGCTATTCACAGCACAATCAGCCTTTCAGCGCAGTCCACAGCTTGTTTGGGGTATTTTTGATATATTCCTGCTCCTGGCCCGGCTCTTGCCGAGGAATAATAGCCGCCATATTAGCTGTCTGGCTGCCAGCTGCGCCAGCTGCACCACCAGAGACCATGACAATATCATCCAAAACGCCGGGCCTTGACTCGACGTCGTGCCCCCCAGATGCCCGCATGGGCCGTCTCCTGGTTTTGCGTCTCCAGCCTTCGATCAAATTGAGACAATTTTCTCCTACTCCGTGCTGTCGTGCTTGCCCTGCGCGAGTTTTCCCCAGCGCGCACTCCGAACACCATGGCCAGCCATCCTCGTCTTACACCATCAGGTACACCCGTTACCCGCAACCCTCGGCTGCAATCCGTTTCCCCTACAGCAACCCTTACCAGGCTACCCTTCGCAACGACGACATCAGAAGAACGCACATGAACGTCTGCGTCCTCGATGCACCATGGAGCACATCAGACGGACTACAGAGCGCCATGCCCTTACCCTGCCCCAATTACCGCATAGCACTTCCTGCAACTGCTTGGGGGCTAGCTGTTTGATCTTTGCCAGTTGATGGAGCTCAGGCAAGCTCAGCCCTTTCTGGATCCTCCATGTCGCCAATGCTCATGCCAATGCAAAGAGCATTAAGCATCTGACTGCTCTGCCCGCAGAGTGAAAGTGAAAGTGAAAGTGGCCCGTCACTGCCAGACCAGAGTAACACCACCAAAAAAAAGGCGTTCTGGCCTCTAGCGTTGCGTTGCAGCTAGAGTAGCGCCGAAATAATCTCAGAAACCGTCTGCAGAATGCCAGCCACGGAGGGGTAAACAACAGTCGACGGTCCTTCACTTCGTCTTGCCAACTTTCCCAAGCACAAAGCCAAAAAAAAGCCCGTCCCGTCGACCATTGAGTTGCCCTAGCCGCTAGACAACAGGCAGCTCGTTGTTAGCCTGTTGTGATTCCCGGTTTCTTCACAAGCCCGTCGCGGGTACATGCAAGGCGCTTCTAGCGTGCCGTCGTCCGACGGTCGGCGGGCTGACCCCTCTTGGGCCCAATCCTCACGCCAAACATGCCTCCGTCCACATGCAAGTGTTGGGTGTTTTGCTCTCAAGAGCCACACAGCAACTTTTGGGAGGACAGGAATCCTGCAGAGGGCCCATCGCCCGGAAGACAAGCTTCAGCCAGACAGCCCTCATCCCGGC